CACAGACAACCTCTCGTCAATATGCGTTTTTTGCATTGCATAACTGCAAAAAACGCATAAAAAGAAACTCGGTGAACTAGCTTTTATTGAAGGATGTTTTGAAGAAGAAGGTACTAAATTAGAAGGAAGCCACAGCACTTGCCTGTAGACAATCATCATCCTAAATCTACGAGAAATTAAAATACGAAAATTGATTACTCCTCGCATCGATGGATCTCAAAGGCGGCGACTCTTATCTCGTGTTTCTTGTCTTACCTCCTTATACTTGTCTCTGGTCTTCTTCGCTTCATCGTATTCATTTTCGCACCGGTCTTTTTCCTCTCTGACCTTATCGAGTTTGCTTTTCCACGTTTCCTGCTCCTTTGCCGATATTTCAGAGTCTTTTGGGCAATTTTCGCCCAGTGATATCGACTTATTTCTGTCCTCCATGCACTCCTTGTAACTTCGCAGCCAATTCTGGTAATTTGCTGCGCAATCCACGGTTAAATTTTCCCACTTTTTAACTTTCTCATTCAGCAGAATGAGTTCGTCCGAGGCCACGTCTTCATTCTTTTTTTTCATCTCATTATATCTGCTCACTATTCTTTCAGAATTCTTCTTGCACTCACTGAGCTCGTTCGTCGCGTTTGCATACGCTTCTTGATGCACTTTAATACAATGTTTCGTCAGTCCTGCTAACTTCTTCTTCCATTCGGCGATTTTTTTTTCTAGTCTTTCATTACTTTTCGTTAACATACGAATTTTTCGTTGCACTGCTTGCGCCTTTGCCATTTGTCTGTGCTGTGCCTTGATTTGCTCCTCAAGCTCCTGAAGCCGTGTATCGCTTGATTTTTCCCTGCAAATTCACGATGATTGCTGCTTGTCTGATGAAATGTATAGATGCAAATATACATCAACAACAGAAAATCATTGACGAACCAGCATTTTTCTCCCCTTTCATACGTACATTTTAATTTTTTGCTGGAAAAGCTTTCAAAGCGAAATCCAGGAGCTCTTCCGTAATTCACTCGGCCTGGGAGACGAAGGACTCGAGAGTAACAGCGACCACTCACTAGCAAAGCTATCCATGGCTCTTTCTTGAAGGATGCTTGTAAGCAAGGTGATGACGGCTCTCTAGCAGTATCAGTTTACAATCAAAACAAATGAACGAGTCATAGAGGGATCGCTCGTCCTAATGGCAAAGTAGCCCATAATGGATGGAAGGTGGGCATTTAAACGGAACTGGTGAAATTAGGAATAGCTGAAAAATTAGTTCTGCACTTGCGTCCTCACTAAAGAACTCTGCCAAATTGTTGTCCCTTTTTTTATGCGTTTTTGCATATATGCAAATGCGAAAACGCATATTGTGACGACCCCCGTGTGTGTGTGTGTGTGTGTGTGTGTATATATGTGTGTGTATGTATGTGTGTGTGTGTCTGTCCGGGTATTTCAACTCGGCACCCAAGCAAGCTCCGGTGCCAAAATTTTGTAGGTGGGTTCCCCGGTCAAGTGCCACCCCAGGACCGCGGTATCAACCCTTTAGCACGTCTATGCCCCGCGTACGAGCGCCACAAAGTTTTGGCGGGAAAATCGCTAACTCGAGAACCAGAAAGGCTAGAAAGCTGAAATTTTGGGATTATGTTCCCAGTTCAAGTAGAACTCAAAGATTTCAAATTCAGC